CTCAGGTTTAAAAATGAAAGCTGGGTCTAAGTTTGTGATTGGGGGAGGTTTGGGAAAGCGAGAGGTGTGACGTCATTACCCCTGCCCCAGGCTGCTGTGAGTGACGCCAGCCCAGCCCTTGCCTGGGGAGAGGGCAGGAAAACGTGGAGGTCACGTCAGGAGCTTCCATGGGGGGCGTGGGGGAGGCACTTTTCCTCTGCCTGGCAGCTCTGCAGGATCCCTGTCCCTGTGGCCAGCTGCTGCAGGCAGAGGCCAGTTGGAGCCGGCCGAAGAGGAGGAGGAGGTGGATTCTAGGACCCAGGTGAGCGAGCCCCGGGGACGCTGCTGCGCGCCGGGAGCCCGGCATGTATAGGGGGGAGGAGGGGCAGAGAGGCTGCTTTTGTCTGCTGTTCGGCAGCCTGTTGCTGGCAGGGGGGTGGGGGGGGGCAGCGGGCATGGGGAGGCACTTTTCCTCTGCCCGGCAGCTCTGCGGGACCCCAGTCGGAGCCGGCCCGAGGAGGAGGAGGATCCTAGGACCCAGGTGAACGAGCCCCGGGAATGCTGCTGCGCATGTGTGGGAGTTGCCTCACCCCGTTCGTATCTAGGGATCCGACGTTAGTCGGATCCACGTAAGTCGGGGACTGCCTGTACCTGGTGTCATGAATCATGGATAGCATGAATGATTAGCATGAGTGAACTAACAGTAAATGAGCTGAAGAGCAGCCATGCTGAGGTCCAGGCAAGAGCCCTGGAGAATTATGGACTTGTTTACAACTTTAAGAAAAAGGACTTTGTGAAATAAAAGAACTGTGTATGTGTGCTGATGGTACAGAAGAAAATAAAGAGTAACAAGGAAGAGACCTAGTCAAGGACATTCTATTGTTTATAACTCGTAGTGAGGCAAGCAAAATTGGGTGGTGTAAGCAGGATGCTCCGAGATTGGTTGTGAAAACACCTGCAGAAGGGGGGGAGAGGTGTAGCCTACGGACATCATCCCACCCGGACCCGAACTTTGTGTAACCAATGGATATTACTCCACACAGACTAATTTACCCTCCCTCAAGGGGTTATATACCACACCATTTTGCCCCACGAGCAGGAGTCCATAAATACAGCACATCGGACTTCCGCCTCAACCAAATTAACCAACATTACCTGGAGTCTGGCCAGCTACAGAGGGTGAGTAGAATGTGTGTGTTAACCTGAATTGAGAATTAGGCTGCTAAACTGGATTAAGGATTAGATATAAAAATATTGCTTTTAATGCTTGGGATGCCTTTTAAGGCAGTTTTAATTGCTTAGTACTATATATATGCTTTTAAAACTGCTCTTGAATTGCTTACCTTTAACAAGTTTTATTGCATAGTTGAAATACTGTGGGAGCCTCTTCTGTTCTGTGAATGCAGAACTAAATGCGTATACGGCTTGATCAAGTGGATCAACTTGCCCACTTTGACACCTGGTGCTTAGCTTTTTTATGGTCATAGTATCACGGAACACTAGAACTGGAAGGGACCTCGAGAGGTCATTGAGTCTCCTGTCCTCGTGGCAGGACCAAGCTCAGCCTAGATCATCCCTGATAGATGCCTATTTACCTGCTCTTAAATAATCTCCAGAGATAGAGATTCCACAACCTCCCTAGGCACTTTAGTCCAGTGTTTAACCACCCTGACAGTTAGGAAGTGTTTCCTAATGACCAACCTAAACCTCCCTTGCTGCAGTTTAAACCCTTTGCTTCTTGACCTAGCATCAGAGGCCAAGGGGAACAATTTTTCTCCCTCCTCCTTGTAACACTTTTCTAAACTAAACAAGCCCAATTCCTTCAGCCTTGCCTCATAGCTCACGTTTTCCAGACCTTTAATTATTCTTGTTGCTCTTCTTTGAACCTTTTCCAAATCTTTCTTGAAATTTGGTGCCCAGAACTGGACACAGTACTTCAATTGAGGCCTAATCAGTGCAGAGTAAAGTGGAAGAATGACCTCATGTCTTGCTCACAACACTCCTATAAACGCATCCCAGAATCATATTTGTTCCCCCCCTCCCCTCAACAGTGTCACACTGTTGACTCCTATTTAGATGTAGTGACCAATCTACTTCAGGTCTTTGTTCAGACCTTGACTCCAGAGGTCAGACTGGTAAATGAAACCAAGTTTTGCATGCATATCTCTCTCCGCCCCATCCCCCCAAGTATATGGTATGGAGAATCACAGTAAAGAGAACTCTAGATTTGCCAATTAGTGTCATTTTCTTATTTCATATTACATAATACATATCCCTTATTTTGGAAATAATGGCCAAGTATCATAGTGGTAATGCCATAAGTCTATTTCCTATTTTACTTCAGCATAATTCAGCTTTCCCAAGAACACCCCATTCCCTACTTGCTTTCACAGCCAAACAAACCAAATGGAGCGTACTACAAAATTAAGTGCACTCATAAAAGACTTCAGTAATCCAGTAAAACTATCATCATTGATGGGTTTGTAACAAGGACCAGCAAATACCAACAAGACACCATAGATAAGTTGGCTTGGTTCATTTATGCCACAAATTCTCCTTTTAGCACCATCAACAATAAAACACTTTCATTGACATGGTTGAATCCTTACTACCAGGCTACACTCCCCTGGCAAAGTAGACATTGGTAGAAGATTTCATACACTGTATCTAGCAAAAGATCTTGAACAGTGTGCAAGAAATAGTGAAGGGAAACTTGCCAGCTTAAGCCTTGACGAGTGGAGCAATGTACATAATGATCCAGTAAAATGTGCCTGTATGACAACAGAAGATGGGGTTGCATTTCTTTCAGAAACAATTAAAAAAAAAATCACACAACACAGTATAAAGAAATGGCAGTGAAAGCTATAATAAACTGAACAAAAAGTCAACAGTCACATGCACATTTGTCACAGAATGCTGCAAATATGCCAAAGATGAGAAGATACTTAGAAGAAATGGAAGGATGTTCCTTAACATATGGCTGCAGTGCCCATTTAATGCATCTTTTAGCCGAAGACTTAAGTACATCTTCTTTAGAAATAAAGAAAAAATGCTATGCAAGCAAAAAAAAAAAAAAAAAAAAAAAAATTCTTTAACTATTTTGCTTCAGCTTCACGGAAAAGGATCCAAACTAATTCCTGCAAAACGTTAAATGGAATTCTGTGGTTGTTTTGAACTATTTATTAAGAATTGGCCAATTCACATCAGGGATGTTAAAGCAGTTAACTAGGTAACCATTAAACTGCTGAAAATCTCAGCGGTTATATTCTACCTCAGTTTTCAGGAAAGTGCTCAAAAACTGAGAATCTACTTGACCCAATTCTGCTGAAGAGAACAACCCAACCACCAATAATCATAAGGTATCTAAAGCTTCTGACGGATCCACTGCTGATCAGACTAGTTTGGTCAAGATGCAGGTAGCCAAAGAAGTTTGATACTGGAGAAGTTAGAGATGATTAGTGACTGCCTCCTTGATAACCAGTTCACCAAAGTGTGGCAAGCAGGCAGTAGTTTGTCATATTGGAGAGGTTTTAAAAAGGAATTGCACATAGAGCCTAATTCTTAGCTCCCTGAATACAAGCTGATAGATCAAATATTAATTCCCTCCTTTGAATACCTGCCATATTGGTAAAATCTATTCACCAAACCAAGAGGAAAAGGAATCAGTCAGCAGCTATTACATCTCTCAACAAGACTGGCTGCAAGCCACCATTATATGTTCTTCTAGTCCTGAGGCCACCTGGCTCCTGAAGGCTGTTTCATCTTACCCCAACTGACAGAGGCTGACAGAATTATGGCAACTGTGGAGTTTAATCAGATGCCTCCTACCCCCCGCCATGCCCCTTTCTGTCCCAGCAGCCAAAAGGGGCTATGAAGTAGTTCTAAGACTTAGTGAATTCTCCTTCCCTTGCAGAAATCCCAGGCAGTATGTATGCTAATTTCAGTGAGGCTATGATGCAAATTATCCACCTGCACAATATCTAATAGAATTTTACATGTGTATTGTTATATAGTCTTAAAACTGTATAATATTTCTCCTTCACTCAAGTTTTTCCATTAAGAATGTTTCACTCTAAATATGATGGGAGAAAAATCTGATTCTAGGATTACATCTTAGTGATGCCCAATATTTTAGCTACTTTTAACATGCTAATTTTTCACATTAATGCCCAAGTAGTAGCCAACAACCTTCTTCAAATGTAACTTACCAGATGAGATACCATTACTGCTCCATCACAGTTTGAGTTGTTAGGGTCATTTTCCCGACTTTCTATAATCTAAAAGAAAAAAAAAAAGTCTCATAAGATCATTGCATATCCTTTCAATTAAAACATAATGGGAAAAAAACAAAACCTATTACACAGACACTTACCATTCTGAAAATGGTGTGAGAACGGCTGCTGTGTTCATTCATTTTTGTTTCTCCATAGTGTCGGTTTTCTGTCAAAATAAAAGTCATTGTGTTTTAACCAGCATTAGAGAGATAGCTGTGTTAGGCCTCCTTGTTGGTTTTACAGATAGAGGCTATCGTACCTTTAAGACTAATAGATTTATTTGGTCTTAACCATAAATGTTTTAAACAAAAACCTATATGCTCTAGACAATATTAAAACTGTAAGCAAAAGTAGTCTAACTGATAAACTGAAAATAATGGCTAAAACTGCCATCTCAAAAGCTACATATTAAATTTAGAAGAACGGTCATGTGTTTTAAAATTGCATCAATGATGAGACTAATAATCCTACTTTCTCCTTTCCTGAGCCATTCCATGACTTGCTCTGGATTAACAACCACCTCTTCAATCAGATCTTCCACGTAGATGTTTCTCTGCAAGAGAAACAGAATTAAAGACGAATTTCATCCAACTCTAAAATAAATGAGATACAGATGACTATACAGTTGAATAAATAAAAAGCCACACAGCAACAGGGAGGGGAGGCGGTCTGTGGGACCAGAAGCAGGGGACCTTCCCTGCTCTGGTAAATTCCCTCATTCCTGAGGGTGACAGACCCGTCCAACCTATACTAGTTTGGTTAAGATTTCATAGTTAGAGTGAAATTTCACTTCTCTTTTTGAAATACAGTAAAGCCTGTGTTATTTGGCACACACAGGGATTAGGTTGTGCCGGTTTTCTGAAAATTCCAGATATCTTGGGGGGGGGCGGGGCAGGGAAAGCAGTGCAAGGGTTGGGGATGTGGCCTGCTGGGGGGGAGGGGCAAAGGAGGCAACCTGGTGCGGGGGAGCCGCAAGGGGGCTGACCTGCAGGGAGGGCAGGCTGCCAGGGCAGCCACGAGGGTGCTGGGCTGCCAGGAGGAGGGGCTGAGATGTAGCATGGCGACAGACGGCCGTTTGCCCATTCCCCAGGTACATGCTGCACACCCGGCTTAAAGTGCCAGTCTCCCCCCACCCGCAGCTCCGAAATTTGCCAGTTTCTAAAGTTTTCTGGCTAGTTAAGTGCTGAATAGCACAGGTTTTACTGTACAGTACAGACACATCTTCACTCATTCACCTTGTTGATGTTATGGCAATTAAGAAAGCAGTTCAGTTGGGGCCAACAACAAAAATCAATCACAACTAAATAGTGCTGTTAAGCAACAGAGTATTTCTGGATGTTTTCTACATTTTCAGATATACCGATTTCAATTACAGCACAAAATACAAAGTGCACAATGGTCACTTTAATTGCAACAATTTTACACTGAAAAAAAATAGTATTTCAATTCTCTGAAGTATGATAATGCAATCTCTACCAAGAAAATTACAACTTACAGTTGTTTCATTGTGTACAAAAATAAAATAAAATAAAATAAACTGCACTCACATAAAGAAACCTTAAAACCTAGAAGTCAACTTAGTTGTACATCTTGTTCAGAAAAAATAAAAATAAAAGGTCACTAGGACAAACAAGTCTGGTTACATTTGCAGGAGATGATGCTATCCACTTCTTGTTTATGTCAACTAAAAATGAGAACAGGCATTCACACGATATTGTTGTAGCTGACATCCTATACATGTAACATATTGAGGAAGGTTGAGGGATGGAGTAGAAGTGATCTGTGAGCACTCTAAACACTGCTAGAAGGTTCCATCATCTTAGCTGCACTGGCCAGTACAACCCAAATGAGACTACTCACAAGAACCTCAAAGAATCACCCCTTAAAAGCTCTGCCAGGGCACCTAAAACCCCGACAAAAGCATTCTTCCAATGTAATCTTAGTAAACATTACATAACCACAATTTGGCAAACATTCAGCCAGAGTCTATTTACATCCACATTTCATGATTTGAATCCATGCCTACACAACGGTGATTTGTTGTACTGATTTGTAAAAAAGTCAAACAGTAAGACCAAATAAAGCATCTCATGTCAGCTTGATGTACTTACATTAACATCCTCTCGAATTCCTAGAGGTTTGTTTTTCCGGCTATCACAGAGTAAGTCTGTTATGGTTTCATTGTATATTTCCATATAGGAAACTCTCAAAAGAAACTCTCTGCCTGGAATCTAAAGATTAAAAAACAAACATTAGATCAGAAGGGCAAAAATGTGCTTTAAAAGAAGATGCTTATTAGTCTTGACTACATCTTTACATGGATGGTTTCATTGATTTTCTTCCCTCATTGCCAATGTGCACAGCATCTCCCTTCTGATATACTGTCCCATAATTACTTCCAAGGAAAATTAATTAATTAATAGTAATTAATTAACATTTCTCTACCCTTAATACAATCAAAAAAGCAAACAATGTTAGGAATAATTTAAAAAGGGAGAGAGAATAAGACAAGACTATCTTATTGCCTCGATATAAAACCATGATACGCCCACATCTTGAATACTGTGTTCAGATGTGCTCTCATCTCAAAACAGATATATTGGCATTGTAAAAGGTTCAGAAAAGGGCAACAAAAGTGATTAGGGGTTTGGAACAGGTCCCATAAGAAGAGAGATTACGAAGGCATGGATTTTTCAGTTTAGTGAAGAGGAGATTAAGGATGGGATATGATAGAGGTCTATCAAATCATGACTGGTCTGGAAAAAGTGAATAAGGAAAAGTTATTTACTTGTTACCATAATCTAAGAACCAGGGGTCACCAAATGAAATTAATAGGTAGCAGGTTTTAAACAAACAAAACGAAGTTTTTCTTCATGCAGCACATAGTCAACCTGTGGAACGCCTTGCCAGAAAATGTTGTGAAGGCTAGGACTTTAACAGGGTTCTAAAAAAGAGCTAGATAAATTAATGGAGGCTAGATCCATCAATGGCCATTAGCCAGGATGGGTAGGAATGGTGCCCTTAACCTCTGTTTGTCAGAGGCTGGAAATGGGTGACAGGAGAGAGATCACCTGATGATTATCTATTCTGTTCACTCCCTCTGGGACACCTGGCATTGGCTACTGTTGAAAGACAGGATACTGGGCTAGATGGACCTTTGGTCTGACTCAGTATGGCCATTCTTATGTAATGTGCATTTTGCACCTTTTTGAAAGAAGATCTGGTATAAAGTGCTTGGAGATTTACTCTTATGCTGTCAAATTCATAGACAAACCATTAATTAACCAATGCCCTCTTCCACATTTCATAAATGGCACTTGGAATCTCTTGCATCACATGAAGGCCAAAATACAGCTTCTTGTGCTCTGGCCCCACTGACTTCAATGGGACTCTTCATGAGCGTCCTGCTTCCTGTACGCATTCAGTGTTGCACATTTGCAGTGAGTTAACCATAGCCATCCCCCATTAGCCTAAGGTAGATGTCCCCAACTAGAGGCTCTGACTATTAATCTCCTTCTCAGTCCTACCCTTTCAGCCCTTCCTCCCCAGCTTTGTTGTCCAGTAGCAGAAGAAGCTTCAACAAAGCTCAGAGTTCAGGTTGCATGCTGCCAGTAGCCGCAGGATGATTTGCTATATGCTGTGTGTGTGGGGGTGTCTTTTCTTTGAAAAGTACTTTAAGGGAGGTGTAGAGACTGGGATATGGGCTTGCCTCACTGCTTTCATTGCTAGGTTCCCTCCTCTGATCCTGAAGAACAGAAAACTGACCTGGGCAGGAGCTGTGCCTATAACACTGACCTATTGAGCATTGCTGGAAATTGTTCAGAGTGCTTACTTTGCATAACCAACTGGAAGAAACTACATGGGGTAAATCCTCCTCAGCCCTTGCAGACTCCCCAGCTGTAGCAGCATGCAGGGGTGGAAAGAAACTACTAGAGATGAAGCTTTACTAGCTTCAGACAGGGGAAGAAATGTGCTTGTGCCTTCCTGAAAAAAATCCCAGTCTCTTCCTGGAATATTCAGCAAGGAGAATGTGGAACTGGGATGGTTATTACGCAGACAGCTTTGTGTTTGTGCCATGCTGAGCTGCCTGTGGGAACATCATCTCTCAGCAAAATAAGCTTTAGGGGTAAACAGAACATTTGCGTCCCTCCCACTCCCAGCATTCACACCTATCCTTCTGTTCCACGTGATCCCTGCTTTCTTCTACTCCCAGCATTTGTCTCACTTGCACTTTTAGGGAAGAGGAAGGAGATGGAGTCTGGTTCCCCATCTCCCACTCATCACAATCCAACTTTACTTCACTGACCTTCCTCTCTAACTTCCCCACCTTCTGTGCAAAACTTCAGCAGAGCCAGACTCCCCTGTTGACTTGATTTAGGCTTCCTTAAAATGCAGCAAATGCTGTTTTTTTTTCTTGCAGTGGGATAACTACTAGGGATGTTAGTGAGTAGTTGACTGGAGTATTGACTACTCGCTACTCCTCCTGCACCTCTATGGGTGTGTGTGGGGGAGAGGGGGTGGAGAGGGGAAAAAAAAAAAAAAAAAAACCCCACCATGAACCAGTTCTGGGGAGACCTGGCTTAAAAGCCGGTTTCCCGCAGCACCGTCTCTGCAGTGCCACACTGCTCCCCACTGCTATCAGAAGCAGCAGAGGGGAAACAGGGGAGCCTGGCAGCTCTTACTACATTTAAAAGTCAGAGCCATCGCGCAGGTGGGTCCCGAAGCCACATGAGCTGGGATTACTCAGTCTTTTCAGAGCAGCACTTATCAAATAATTGTGTACTTGATACAAATTGTATTGACTAGATGATTAGCAGATAACTACAATGTAACATCCTTAATGGACACACAGCAGGCACAATGTATTCTGAACCTCTCTCAGCTTGACAAACCAGGAACCCCTTATAATAAGATGAAGGCCTAAAACAAAAGCCCATGTAGCACAAACATGGTCTGAATTCTAGCTATAAATGGACAAAACCTGGCTAACATAAAGCAAAGCTAAGCTGTGAGCAAGAGGCAGGCCCCTGCTCACAGGACTTGGCACAAACAAGGCTGAGAGTGAAAAAACACTAATTTGTAATAGGCCAGGTGTAAAACAGTAATTGGTACTGGTCATAAGTTGAAAGCACATGGTACCACCAGCTCATTAAAAAATGATCTTGATATACACTCCCCACAGATACAGATGGATAGAGATGATCTAATCAAATGAAGTAAAGGGTGATATCCAAGAAGAGTCAGAGGATGGGAATCTGACACATCAGAAATGATGTGCAAGTTGTTAGTACCTATATATAAAGTGGTGTCTTGTGAGAGGGGTGGAAGATAGTATGTGTCTGACCTGCGGGCATGGAGACCTTCCACTGATTGACTCATTCCATTGTTATGGATTACATATTAGTGATTCAATAGAGTCTACTGACTGTTGTTACTGTACAGTAAAACTCCATTGGTCCGGCATCTGATGGTCTGGCACCATCAGGAACCTGGAAGTGCTCCAGGCAGCCGGACCATTGAAGCTGCTCTGCCCCTGGCTTCCCCGTTTCAGCCACTGCTGAAACTGACCAATGGCTGAATCGGAGAAGGAGGGGGCAGAGCGTCTGAGGTGCTGCCAGTAGGTCCTGTAGCGCTGCCCCTCGGCGCTGTGGGACGAACCCGGCAGCACCCCAGCTGTCCCTGATTCAGCCCCCGC